ATGGGACGAATTGTGTATTTTTTATTTCATTATTGTTGTTTTTCTTAATTTTTAGGCCCAAATAATCTCTTTGGGCCCAAAATTGATAAATAAAAATTAAGCCCAAAATAAAAAAAAAAATAAAAATTAAAGGCCCAAAACAAGAATTTTGAATTTAACCGGTTAACCGCCAAACCAGACCATCCAATGCGGTCTGGATTGTGGCCGGTTAAAAAATAAAACCGGTCTGGTTATAGACAAGAAAAAAATTAACTGTTAGGTCCGGTTTGGTCATGGTTTGGGCTAAAACCGAATCAATTCGGACAATAAACACCCCTAATGTGAAGTTGTGGTTAGTATTCTCTTTTGGGAGCGAAATGAGCGATACTATCTCTTCTTTTATCTTGATTATTTTTTGAATCTTGTTCTTGTTTTCGGGGTTTCTTGCTTATGGGTTTAAGGGAAGGTTGGTCTCGGGCTTTCTCGGGGTCTAGGTTTTGGGGAGGTTTGGCTGAGATTGTCCATTTTTTATTCAAGGTTATGGAAGACGACGTTCTAAGCAGGTTAAGGAATGTTTTCTTGTCGGGAAAAAAAATTGCGATTATTGATTTGGGGCTAGATGATGTTAGGGTCAGGGAAGACGAATGCAAAAGAAGTCTGTTCGGGAAAATTATTGGGGATCGCAAGGCGAGCTAGATTGGGATTAAGCGAGCTATGAGGCAAATTTGGAGAATTTCACAATCCCTGGAAGTGAAAGAATTGAGTTTCAATTTCTTTCAATTCATTTTCCAAAATCGAAACGACATGAAAAAGGTGTTAGCGGGTACCAACTGGAGCTTCGTCAATCAATTTCTAGTATCACATGAAAGGAAAGAGGGGATGTGCAGTCCTCATTCTGGCTTCGAAGAAATTGATATTTGGGTGCACATACACAACATTTCTCTCAACTGGTTGTGTGCAGACGTGGGCTTGAAGATAGGCAAAATTTTCTGCAAGGTTAAGAACGTGGTGGTAGTTAGCGCTGGTAATCATGGAGGTAAGCTTTTAAAACTTGTAGCTACTATCAGGGTAAATGAAGCTCTACCAAGATGTACTACAATAAGGTTGGGGGATAACCAAGTAGAAGGCATTTTTAAGTATGTTGGACAATCTATGTTTCTATTGTGGCAAGATAGGACATCTTGATAAGGGTTGTCAAAAGTGATTGGAGGACATAGCAAATGAGACTATTGCAGAGGGACATTTTGGTGAGTGGATGTGAGCAGAGAAAGGATCTCATGGGGTGGAATCTAGCAATTCTCGATCTCAAGGATCAATCCAAAGCATCTTCACGTAAATGAGCTGAGAGTGTTGGCACAGGGGTCCAGAGTCCAGAAACTGTTCCAAAATCTTTATGCTTGGTGGAGACCAGTAATCGATTGGGATCACAAGAAAAAGTTTTTGGAGACATAGTCCATTATTCATAAGAAGCAAACAACATACTATTCCCAATTATTGAAGGAATATAAGTAGAGGTGGATCATTGTAACAACACAGAATTAAGGAAGGAATTCTCTGGTTACAGGATGGAGAACAGTGGAGTTAGAGTGTCAAAAACTTGGAGGAGGGGGCTTCCAAGGCAGGCAGATTACAAAGTCACAATATCATAGAGGGTAAGGAAGAAGGAAGTACCAAGGGGGAAAAGAAGTAGGAAAGAACAAAATGCTGAGGTAGTTGAGGAGAGGGGAAAATTACAAAGATACATGGACAGTAAAAAATTGAAGATATCTACCAATGAAGTGGGGGAGGCTAGCCTAGAGTGGCTCCCAAGTGGCGAATAAAAGTAGCAGGGTGAGACTATAGAGGTATGAGTGGGCGCTACATAGTGACCCACCACCCATCCTTCATTTTATTACCAGAGACTAAACAAAAGGAGGATTATATGAAGAGACTTAGCAGAAACTTGGGGTTTAAAGATAGATGGTTGGACATTGTACCTCGAGGGC